TATATTCGGGTAGCCCTGGGAGGGAAAAGGTAGGGGGAAGAAAAGAAGATTTACCCTTAGTCTTATTTTATATATTTACTTTATAACTTCTCTTGCAAAAATGTTTTCAGGAATTGACAAAAACTTGAGAAACCCCATTCGACCAATGGTAATGATTAAATATGGTCATTTAAGTATAAGTAGATAGGTCCTCAAAGTAGCAACTGATAAACTTGGAAGAAACTTTTAAGTGTAACCCCAGCATACAGTTTCTTTTTGAAAAGGAATATGAAGGTGAAAAGTCAGAGAGACCACAGTGGTCTCAAAGCCTTTTGCACTTTGGCTTGTTAGCAGATGGGTTTCTTCTACTCTCCTTACATGCCAGGCGAACAGAAGAGCAAGGGTGGGTGAGCAGACAAAATAAACTGTCTCCCTCTATACTCTCACAACATGCTTCTGACACCAGATGTGTGGGGACTTCTCCCCAACAGCAAGCAAGCCAGCAATTTTGCAGCGAGCACCAGCGGAGTGTTCTCCAGTGCAATTCCCACACTATCTACCTGGGGAGAGTGTCAGACCCCACAGGTTGAGGGTTCAGTCCCAAAAAACTGTCCCCCACTTCCAGGCCAATCACAAGCCCCAGGTTGTTTTACCTGTGCTTCGGACCAACTTCTTTATAATATACTTTGTAGTGAGCTGGTACACACAGCGTTTCCCTGAATTATGTGAGCCGCTCAGCAAATTAATCGAACTCATGTTTACCAGCTTATTATAAAGGATATTACAAAGAATACAGATGAAGAGATGCATAAAGCATGGTATGGAGGAAGAGGAAGCATATCCCATCCTCTTGGGCTTTCTAAGGAGATTTCACTGGAGAGGCATGACCGAAGTATGGACAACCGTGTAGAAATGGGATTGGACAGAAAGGGTATGATCTAATACTAATAGACTGAGTGGGAAAACCTAGTCTTTTCAGATTCTTCTCGGCCTCTCTGTGCAGCATTCCTTCCTCCTGGGGAAGGGGCAGGACCTCTTCTAAATGGGGG